GCCACCTTACTCAGATATTTCTGATTCACCTGCTCAGTGTTTAGCAGTGTAATTACAGCAGACGTATGTGTCAGAGCTTAACAGGTGCTAACTAGAGCCTGAACCAGCCATGAGCAGGCTGCTGTAGCTTTTTCAGTGTTCCGCTACGGAATATTCACAGATGTCTGCTGTGATGCTTTTTCAGTCACTAGTTTATAGCTACTATTTCAATTATCGTTTTTTGTGAAAATGGTTTCTTGTGGTGCTTATAATTCAGTGTTGTATGTTAGCTAAGCTATGCGGTCTTGAGAGAGGCTTAATGTCTTATGTGGGGAAAGTGTCAGGGTAGGCTACGTAAGCGTCGAAGGTCCTGCAGAGTGGGGTGAAGGTTTTTAGCATCACGGAATGTATAAGGAAATTAAATACCAATTCCCCAAATTTACCCAGATTTTCTCTGCATTATTCTTTCCCAATAAATGACAAGCACATAGAGACTTCCGCCAGCTGAAAGCCGCTAAGGTCTTTTGGTTTAGCCCTCCGCTAACTTTAAATGGAGATAAAAATATTAATATCGTGACTCTCCAATTTTAAAACTTTTCCAAATGTTATCAAGACTGAATGGAATGCAAATTTAATATAATGAAGACATTTTGGCGGGGTATTGAAATGCGTTGGTTTGATACTTTCGGGGTTTTAGTCCGCTTTTAAAAAGTTGTGGTTTTTGTTACTTCTTATCTTTGTGAAGGACAAAATGAAAGATTTTTACATCTTGGGCAAGTTTGAGGACCTTTTTGGAAAGGTGGGGACCATATTTGTTTAAAAATACAAAAATGTTGACAAGTGAGAATTTTTTTTTTCAAAAAGTGGTTCAAGTTCCTGCTTTTTCTTGTAAACTTTTAGGTATTTAGGTTTAGAAAAATATATTTGTGGTCAAATAATGGACCTTCACAAGTTATACGAAGTCATCTGTGTGTGGTGTGTGTGTTGTGTGGCATGTGGCGTGTGCCGTGCCGTGTGGCGTGTGGCGTGGTGCGTGTGCATCTTTCTGTCAGTCCCATCAGTTTTACGTCAGCAGAGACAGGAGGACGAACTGAAGGAGCTTGCGTTTCAAGAACAAAAAAAATCCATTGTTTGAAAAAAAAATAACATAAAACAAGACGGTTTGTTTCGCTGTGGTTGAACGATTTTCACTTTTAACCCCTGAAGAACGACTTTTGCCCGATAATGTTTGGATAATTTTGCCTCAATCAACTTTGGAACATAAGTGGGCAGAACCTGGGTGGAAGATGTGGAACAGCTGCTGCTTTTTAATAAATTAAAACAATTGTTGGTCGTTTTTTTCAAACCGATTTGGAACAAAAAAATACCATTTTGGGGGAGCCTTTAAACCCAGCCTTCCCCAAAGTACAGTTATAAAAAAAAAAAAATTGGGGTTAACATTTTGTTGACAAAAGGGCATGAAAAGTTAAGAAATCTTTTGTAAATTGGCAAAATGAAACCAGAATTTCCAAAAATATCTACAGCCATATTTTTTATTCTAGTCGGCAAGATGAAAAACCTGTGAAACTCTGTTTTCAAGATCTCATTGTTAACTGTGAACAATAAAAAAGCACTAAGTCTGAAAGTTTTAGAAACTCAGCTGCAGTGTGAACGGAGCTAAATGGAGCAAATTTTCCAGCAATACATGGCCGGCGACTTCAAAACTGAAACAAAAACAACTGAAACCATGAAAAGAAACCTGTGAATTAGAGGCAATTGAAAACTGGGAAAAAATCGAAAGATGGGCTGATGCCTTTTCCTAAAATAAATCTGTATCGTTTGTAAAGAGCTGAAACTCTTCAGTGATCCTCCCACTTGTATCCTGCTGGGCAAAGAAACCAAAAATGCCATCCCTTTTTTTTTTTAAATTATTACACCTCTCTGAGTGTCTGGAAAGGGCCCCGCCAAATGGGAACAATAGAGGGCCCCAAATCTTTTATAAGTTTCCTCAAAAAAAGGAGAAACCCCCCTCCATTTGCGGTGGCTTGAAATGTCACCATTCCTGTCACCGTTTGCGTCCCGAATCAGCAGAATGAATTCCAACCGAGGAAAGTCCCCTCCCCAACAGTCAGGAAGAGAAACCCAAAATAAAATCAAATATTTTTCTGTTTTTCTGTTGATTGTTTTTTTTCCTTCATCAAGGCCGGATGGTTCGGTCACTTCCCTGGCAGAGAGGACCCTCCGGAGAAGCCCTGGGGGAAGTTTTCACCAGAGTGAAATTGTTCCCAACAAGGAGGAGGAGGGCCAGTAAACAAACCTTCCGGAAGGGTTTATTCTGCCGCAACTGCACGGAGAAGGGAACGACGGTGGTCTTCAATCTGAGGTGAGGACCCCACCGAGGGCCAAAGCCAGTTAACTCTTAGATTCGGTCACAAGATATCTGAGAAAAAAAATCAAATAAAATCCAGAAAAATGTAACTTCCTATGTATGTACATAACCTTTCCATAGATGTTTTCCCTCGGTTTTTGCGCGGTCCGTCCCTGCTCTCTTCACAGCATCTTCATCCAAACAGGAAGTGAAACATGCTGTGTTTTTCCCAGTGTTCAGCCCCCTCCCCCACAGAGAAAGCCGAAGGGAGCGGCCTTTTTCAATTTCTTCAAACCATTGCTCTGCTTGAGGGGGAATTTTCAGCTTCCGAACGGTTTTTGACAGGAGACTCCAAACCCATGAGGAAGCCCATTACAACTAGTAGTTTCTGCAGGTCGCTGAGGCTCTGCTGGCCGCCGCTGCAAGAGGAGTAAAAAGCCAAGAAAAAACATCAACTTGCAGTGTTGATTCAATTTCCATGAAAAGTTTTGGCTTTCTTAAACGTCGTAATTAGACCCTTGTCTTTCTGTTCTTTTTTTTGTTTCTTTTTCTGTTTTGTTTCTGTCTTTTCTGATGTTAAAGATTACCCAATCAGAAACTCAGACGGCTTCCAGTTTTAACTGGTGCTTGTGGCTCAATTTTAATTTAAATTACTGGTAAAAAACTTAAAATTGATAAAAAAATCTCTCCATTAGGCGGCGCCAGGGGTAGGGTTTTGGGCTATGGCCCATCCAAGAAATTGTTGTTACCCCTACCATAAAAACCAAGAGAAGTGCGGAGTCCACAGCGCCTCCATGTCGTAAAGGCTTTCCAGGCAGGTGCGATGACAACTGTCATGAAGTGAACATACGTAACATCTGGTGTTTAATTATTTAAGGCGGGTTACAAGTCATAAGCTCAGGTCAAAATTATGATGGATTAAATTTGTTTTTAAACGTCGTCGGACCGGAAAACGCACTGCAACACATCAGCGACACAAAGGGACCCCATCCCTCGGACCTCTATTAAACATTTAAAATGTGTCTATCGTCTGTGTAATATGATTCGAAAAACTAGATGATTGATAGATTCGTACTTGAAGAAGCGCTGAGTCATCCGAAGAGGCGATTTTTCTCATTTGTGCTCACGATAACCCTGGAAGTTACTTCAAAAAATTCAAAATCGATAAAAGTCAGCTCTTCTCATTCAAAGATATACACAAACCACGAGAAAATCAACTTAGCAGCACGCGTCGCCTCTCGAGTTCTAAAGGCAGAGGCTGGAGTAGGAGCCATTGCCTGCGAGACATTAAAGAGGCAGCATACTATCATAGATCGACACAAACGCTGGTAGACTCGCATCAGACCGGAACAGCACTTTAATAATTCTAAGTCTAGGATTATTTTCTTCATGGTACAGAATAATTTATTTTTGATTGGATAGTCCGTTTACAAAAGAACACAACTGCTCAATAGGCGCTTCAGCATCTGCGTGTACGCACAGAACGCCCCAACCTCTGCTATCACTTTTCCATCCCAACAATGCTATTCGCTTCCAGAAGGTCACAGCACAACATAACCAGTCTTATGTTATGAATGGTTTCACTCTGAGCCAGTGGAGCGAGAGGCACGACTGACTTTAAGATAGCTGCGTACTGCTTTGACAACATGTTCTAAGATAGCATGCTTGAAGACTCAGCTTGAGGTAACTCAAAACGATAAAACCAACCTAACATTATGAAAAGCAATATTACATTTTAGAATTGTTATATAAGATTACTGCGTAATCATTGAAGCCATGTACACAGAGAGTTAGTACCACGTTCTCTACCTTTTGATACCTTCAGTATGAAATTTGCGATCTCTAGAAATTTATTTTACTTAAGCATACCATGACGTTAATCTACGTGTGATCAGTAATTAAATTGCTATGTTAAGAGGCGTGGTATTATAGCGTCGGACCGGGCGTCCGTCGATGTCCTGCAATTGTTTTTACAATCCGAGACGTATATTAACTGCATATTAACTGTATATTAACTGCATATTAAGCTGTTATTAACTGTATTTAACTGTTTATTAACTGCATATTATAACTGTTTATTAAACGTATATTAACTGTTTTTAACTGATATTTAACTGTTATTAACTGTATATTAACTGCATTATTAACCTGTTTATTAACTGTATATTAACTGTTTATTAACTGTAATATTAACTGTTTATTAACTGCCATATTAATACTGTTTATTAACTTAAATTAACTGTTTATTAACTGCATATTAACTGTTTTAACTGTAATATTAACTGTTTATTAACTGTTTATTAACTTATATTAAACTGGCATATTAAACTGTTTATTATACCTGTATGTTAAATGTTTATTAACTGTTTATATAACTTATATTTGTTATAACTCTCAGTTTTATAACTGGCATAATAACTGTTTATTAACTGTATATTAACTGTTTATTAACTGTATATTAACTGTATTTTCAGATGTACTGTAATATAATATAATATAATATATATAGTTAATATCTTAACTGTATATTAAGATATTAACTTTATATTAAGATATTAACTGTATATTACCTGTAGTTTAAGATATTAACTGTATATTAACTTCATATTAACTGTATATTAAGATCATAACTGTATATTAACTGTATATTTAAAGGACGAACAGGTGAACTCACCTGCTGCATGGTGTGCATGCTCTGCTGCAGCAGCTGGATCTGAGCCTCCGGACTGTGTGTGTGTGTGTGCTCGTCCTCCGCTCGGTTGGACCTCAGATGCTCTTTCCTCAGCAGCTCCACCTCGTTCCTGTAGGCGTCCAGCTGCCAGCGCAGGGAGTCGTTCTCCTCCTTCAGAGACGCCTGGGTCTGATCGTACGCTCCTGCAAGGGGGAGAGGAGGGGGGAGGAGAGGGGGAGAGGATGAGAGCAGGTGAGAGGATGGGGGAAGGGTGTGGAGAAGTGGAGAGTAGAGGGGAGGAGATGAGAGAAGAGAGGATGAGGGGAGACAATGAGGGAGGGAAAGAGGAGAGGAGGGGGGTATATTAAGGTAGGATGAGAGGAAACAAGGAGAGATATGGGGGAGGGGAGGAGAGAGGATGAGAGAAGGGGAAGGTGATCAGGGAAGAGAGGAGGAAGGTAGGATGAGGGGAGGAGAGCAAAGAAGGGAACAGAAAACAAGGAGAGAGGGGCAGGAAGACGAGAGGAGATGAGGGGAGGGGGGAGGAGAGAGTAAACAAAGGAGAGGTACAGAGAGGAGGATGAGAGGGGGAGGTGTAAAACTGACTCTCAATAAACGTCCAAATCTAAGACGTCATCATTCAGTTTGTTGCTATGACAACAGAGACTCCATCAGACACACAGTAAACAATCAAACAAACATGTAAACAACAAACAGAGCAAAGACAAACAGTCTGTTTATTAAATTGTTATTATTGTTATTGAACCCGACATGGACTCTGGTCTTCGTACCGTTCTCTGAGCTCCGCATCCTCTTACAGGGACTCTCATCAGAGTCGTCGTCAGACATCTCCATCTCCTCCTCCCGCCGGATGCCCATGATCTCCTCGCTGTGGGCGTTCCTCAGCTCCTGAAACAAAACAACACAACAAAATATCGCTTCCTGTACTTAGATATGCTACATGCTAAGCTAATCTACTGAACAAACACATTTTGAGGATGATTAAAGATTAAATGATAAAAACAACAAACTGTCGATCTAAAGTTAGTTCATGTTGGCAATATAATAACTAACTAGCTACTCGTCAGCTAGTTAGTTAGCCTTCTGCTATCTTTAAAATGTTATTAATGTTTGTTTATACACAATAAAGGTTCATAAAACCGGTGATATTATATATTTTATACATATTATATCATATATAAGTAGAATAATATAACACAGTGAGAGGAATCATTCAGCAGTTTCATTTGATGCTTTAAGTACATTTTCCTGATAATACTTCTGTGCTTTTACTCAAGTAACAATTTAAACTGAGGCCTTTTACTTGTAATGGAGTACTTTCAGAGGATGGTATTTCTACTTTTACTTTAAGTATCTAAGTGCTTCTTCCACCGCTGCACCATCAGCTGGCTCTGACGTTCTGCTAAACCGAGGAAATCAGACAAAATAAAATGTAATAATCACTTCTGTAGCATCTATATTCACCAGAGGTCTTTTTTCTTTCTTTACTGACAGACTGACACCCACTGTATCTAATCATTAGTTTAATTAGTGATTCATTTGCAGATTTTGAGCCATTCCATCTCCAAAGGTAGTCAGTTTATGATTTAAAACAGAAAATCACAACTGAGGAGCTTTTTTAATAGAAAAAATGATTTAAATAATTATTTCATTAGCAAAACAGATTTACAAAGCAGATTAACTCCCTATCGATCAACTAATCGATTAATTGTTCAGCTCTACTGTGAATAATCTTTACGTTTGAGTTGAGGAGGCAGAACAGCTTCAGCCTGTCTGCTGCATTATCTCATCACTGCTGCTGAAGCCCTGTGGGATAATCACATCTCTGCACGGCTGCCATTTTCATTATCTCTCCATTTGTCAGCCGAGATTTCACAGCACAAATCTGACAGAATAATGCCAACGACTTCCTCGGAGGAGAAACACGCAGTTTGCTGTTGCTATAGCGATGTGGATGCATGTAGACTTACCACAGACACTAGCCATTAAAGGAGGGGCTTTCACAGTGGGACTGTTGCATGCTAGAGATGGTCTCACCAGACTGTGTGCCAATCACCGTTTCTTACCTCGTTTTCAACCAGAAATATTATAAGCGACACTGAGCTGGCTCACATTGATCGATTGTGTCTACGGAAGATTTAAAATGCAGAAACAAAAGCAAATCAAAGAAATAAACTACAATGCATTACACATTTATACAGTATGTACACATTTACTGTCTCATTTTAATGAAAAACCTGTTAAAAGGACAACTGACCCTTCCTAAGCCCCGCCCCTTTTAGCTCTGCGCTCAATCTACATCAATCGTTAGCCAGATAGTAAGCTAATTAGCAAGCATTTTGTTACAGATGCTAACTCTAGCTAATCTATATCAACACTAAGCTAGCTAGTTACACCTGAAAACAAATGTTAGCAAACGCTTAGTTAGCTAGCATTAGTCAGTGTTTGTGTTTGTCCACTCCAGGCTACTGTAGAAACATGGTGGGTCAACATGGTGGACTCTGTAGGAGAGAAATACAGATTAAAAATGTCTCATTCTAAGGTAATGAAAAACATTTTTTATTATAAACTAATGAAAACACCTCTGAATATTTCATTCCTGACAATAGATTCTCCTCAATGTTTCACACTGGTCCTTTAACCATCTTGCGTGATGCTGCAAGTCATGGACGCAAACGTAAGAAACTTAAAACTTTAAAAACGTTGAGTTTTGGTTTGTAGGAGAAACTCGAATACAAGTATCACCAAAACAATACGACAGCATTTAAAACATTTCCCACTGGGTGAAGGTTTACAGACTAATGGGGCGGCTGTGGCTCAGAGGCAGAGCGGATTGTCCCCCATTCGGAAGGTTGTTGGTTCGATCCCCAGCTCCTCCTGCCACGTGTCGAAGTATCCTTGAGCAAGATACTGAACCCCAAATTGCTCCTGATGCATAGCATCGGTGTGTGAATGAGTTAGTTTCTGTTCGATGGGACTTTGCCATCCCTGTTGAAAAGGGTGAATGTGGCACGTAGTGTAAAAGGCACTTTGAGTGGTCGGAAGACTAGAAAGGCGCTATACAAGTACAAGGACCATGTTACCATTTACTAATGATGATTTGATGTCCCTCCCAAAAAAGTTGCGATGTTCCTGATCGCAAAAGTGAACCCAAATTCCCTGTGAATTTGTAAAACCTTACAATTTTGTCCAATCACCAACAAATTTGACCAAATAATTATGTTTCCAATGAGTTTCAGCCCCATACGTCTACAAAACTACTAACGAGTTTATTCCTCCTGAACAAAATTACCTGCAATTTTTAATGAACTGTACAAAAAAAAAATTGCAACTTTATTTTTTTTCACTTTGTATTCAAAAAATCTTCAACATCTTCTAAAGGTAGTCCGCCATTGTGAACCGCCATTGTTTTACAGCAGCCCAGAGCGGACTAACCAAACACATGCTTCTATAGGAGTTTTGCAGCAACTGTAATTCCTTTGAAAGTCCTGAGCTGTTTTCAAGTTGGTTGCAACCTGCACTTCACCACTAAGAAGGCCACTAAATCCTCCACACTGGTTCCTTATTGACATGAAGCTAAATAACCTCCTTTTAACATGTTTTTCATTGAATTAATGACAATGGAAGTAATAATGTTTATTATATTTCTTTTCTATTTCTTTTGTTGTTGTTTTTATTCCTGCATTTGGTATTTTCCATTTGTCGGCTTCCCAAAGAAACTCCCGAGGAGCGACAGGCCGCTCCCCCGAGGGCCTGACTGGGCTGAAAACGGACAAATCCTCCTCCTTCATACACAAACATCCGCCTCATGTTCTTACTTGTTTTCTAGATTTGACTCTTGGATGAATAATTGATCAGAAGACTTAACCCTGGAAATCACTGTTTGCCCATAGCAGCGGCCTCAACACCTTTCGAGGAGGCGTCAGATCTTTTGCTTTACATCTGGGCCGGCAGGAGATGAGAGAGAGTGTACCGGCTCCAGACGATCAGAGGCCGGTGTTCTTCTGATCTGACTGTCTGTCTGTCTGAAGCATCCAGAAACAACAACAAGGCAGTGAACAACAACAAGTCCTACAGGGCTGTTCTGTCCAGCTCTCTCAACTGGGGAATGACAGCCAGAGAAGAAAGCCAGTGGGTCGGGGTGGGAGGAGAGAACAGAAGAGGGTGTACCACTCCACACTGCTTGCCCAATGTCTATGTTCTTGCGCTGTGCTTTTTGAGAATGTCCCAATGCCTTTTTGCCTGGTGGCGGCGGTGAAAACGGTGGTGATCTGCTCGACTTTGGGGGGAACAGGGAGGAGGAGGAGGAGAGGAGGAGGAGGAGGAGGAGGGAGGGTCAAGACAAAACAAGCCGTTTATGTAGCGTTGTAGCACTGACTGAGGCTCGTACAGCAGACAGAGGAGAGACCGTGGATGCACACCCGACCACAGGCTGGTCGACCTTTCTTCCTTATTTAAAGGAACACTTCACTCAAAATCAAAGTAAATTGTCATCAATTTGCTCACACCCGAACTGGTTCATTCCGTCTTTTAACTTTGAGTATCTGCTGATTTCCCAAATCAGACCTAAGTGTAAAACTTGGTCAGATGGGGAGCAAATAGCACTAAATGTGTGTTACCTGTTAGCAAAGTCTCCCAGACTGTGACCGAATACACTACTAATGCAGACGGAGGCAGTTTGACGACAGTAGGGAGGTGATTTTCTTTCCAGTTTTGGCTCCTGGCACCCCCGGGCTAAGTCAGCTAAAGTCAGCAGCACGAGCTAACTAGCAAACGGTACCAAACATCACTATTTGCGGCTACTTTTAGCAAGTCTATCTGGAAACTCCATAAATCACCTCGGTAACGCTGTTGTCAAACTATCCTCTGTCTGTCTCAGAGGTTGTGTTCACTGGGAGGCTGCTGAGCCCTGTTCAGTTGCAACGGCAGCTACATTAGCAGTTAGCGGAGGACGTCAGAGGGAAAAACCAGACCAATATTCCTCTCCAATAAAATATGATCCAGTTTCCCACCCAAATCATGATAAAGTTGTGTTTGTACAGTAATCAGTGAGCTCATAACTAATGAATCTTCGCTCTGTGTGTTAATCAGTTAGTTGTAAGTAGTAGTCACATTTTTTTTCTCAGGAAGACACAGTGGTTGGATTTTGATATAAAAATACAAAGAAATAATTGAGTTTTTGCTAATTGTTTGAGGCATAAATTGTTATATAGGGGTGCGATATGACTGAATGAATGTGAGTTAAGAAAGCATTTTTCTTTTCATCTGGACTGCTTCAGTTGAGCTCCTGTACTGAATATACAACTGGTCCCAGTAGACCAGCAGAGTCCGGACTCACTGAGCAGACGATGTGGAGTGAAGTGCTCCTTTAAAGAAAAAGTCCCAAATGATTAAGTAAAACAGTCACTTTTCCGTATAATAAATAAAGCAAACGTTACAATGGACAAAACAATGAGTTGAGTTGGCTGGAATTCAAAATAAAAGTTAAAATAAACATTATTAAACAAATATAATTGAATGAGATTCAGGTGCAAATTCACAAATAGTGAGTTACACAGTAAATAAATATGATTTAATTAAAAATAATAAATGCAGTGTGTTGATAGCAGCTGGTGTGATGAGTAGGTCTCTCTCCTGTTCAGTGCTCTGTACTTACATCACCTGCTGCTTCCTTCAGGACTGACAAAGGCAACATTTCTCCAGAATGGATGCTGGTTGTTTAATGTGTCTGTAATTCATTAATTACTGTAAGACTGGATGAGAATATAACCTTCTAAAGACATACATTCTGATTTAAAATGCTGCCTTTCAAATGTCTCACATTTTTTCAAACTTTTCCAGCATCATTTTGACTCAAACCTGAATGAACATTTCAAACAACTCATGTCTTCTTAACGAGCTCCAGACTTTCTCTGATGGACAAACAACGGAAACTGAAACAGGACGATACTCACCGCTCTGCAGTCCAACACTTCTTTACACGCACAGTGAACTGAATTAAATCTGCGTTAAGTTATAATTTTGATACTGAACCAAGAGAAATAAAACTCCACCGACTCTTTCAGACTCTGGTAGCTCCTAGTTTTCACCGGCTGCCTCTTTCGGCTCTCATCTTCAGTTTGTGATCTGGTTTTCACGAGACACGTTTCCACCCAAAGTACCCAGAAGTCCCAGGAACTACTTTTTCCTTCAAATATTGCTTACTGGGCCACAGATTATTGTCTTAGTGCTCATTTTAATCTCAGACTGTTGTTGTCCACCGCGAATATTAGCAAACTTACGAAAAAAATCCACCGATGGTCAGTTTGACAACAGGAAATACTGTTCAGAGGTGGTTTTCTTGCCGGGTTTGGCTCCTGGCGCCCTGGGGCTGAGTCAGCTAACAGGCTAACTAGCTTACGGCAGCTAATATCCCCGTTAGAAAATTAGCAAAGTTACTCTTGTTACTCTATGAAAAAGCGATAGTTTTCAGCACTGCAAGGCCCACCCCCAAAGTTCCTGTATTTTGGAAAGCACTACCCGCCCCGAACAAGGGACTTTTTGGGGGGCGTCAGATGAAAGTATTGATTTATTTATATTTGGACCAAAAAAAGTGTCATCGGTGCTTCCATAATTATTATTTAAGCACTTGTTAACCTGCACAAATAAACGCCGTTTCCAAAAGACAAACTAGCTCGTAAAGAAAGAGCTGGTGGAGACCAAAACAAACACCACTTCAATCCGGTAATTATTCCATCATACAGGACTCACTTAATGCAGCTTTAATGTAAAGATGTTGAGAGGTGACAGTGGATGTTGAACACGCTGTGGTTATCAGTCACTGTGTGTTGGTATTTTCTGACTGACTCTGAAACCCATGTGCGATCGACCTAATCACCACCTCGCAGCGAGCTGGAGATAATGGAGCTGATGGTGAGACGGATGGAGGAGTGTTGTCATGGAGACTGGGCTGAGATCTGTGCAGAGGAAATGAGTTGCATGGAGGCAGGCTCTGAAACGGATGTAGTGAAAATGGCTTCACGGTCTCCACGCCTGTAATCTGCAACTGCACCCCCCCTCCGAGGCAGCACGAGGGCCCGCTGATGGGAGTGTATTGATCAGTGTGGAGGATGTAGTTTGTGTTGCTGTTCTGTATTCTGTAACTGTATTACATTTTACTGACAGTTTCTATCAGTTTTTCCACCACACGTCTATCAGTGAGGGCTCATTGATCTCTGTATAATGTCAGCGTACATTATCTCAAGTACTGCACATATGTTTAGTTTTGAGTTACTTTACTTTGGTATTTTATGCTACTTTATACTTCAACTCCAACTACATTTTAGAGGCAAATATGTAAAATATAATGCCCAACGAGGTGTCCAGGAATTAATGGAAGACCTTACAAGGCAGAGTGCTAACGTTATGCTATGAGCCAGACAACTAACGTTTTTAACACTAGTAGTTTTACTTAGTAATCTGTAGTACTCAGTAATCTTTTCCCCACTCAAAGTACTTGTATCTGGTCTGTTAATGGACGACACTACAAACCAGAGAGCTAACATTAGAGACAGCTGGCTTTATCGCCACCAGGGAGCGATACAGATGTTTTGCCTTTGGATTTGCAGAGCTGTCATATTGTCCATCATTTTATATGTTGACAGGTAAAATGTTGTTAAAAACGCTAATAAAGGATGAATGATATGATGCCCGCTGTGGGAACCCCCGGTTTATTCTACCGTCTCCTTACCAGCTGAAGGGACCCTCCTCAGAATGATGATGCTTTATGAAAGATGAGATACTTGTAGTGAAGTCAATGAACTTACCCGAACAACTGCACAGTTGTTACGGAGCACAAGTGGCCCGTCTGCCTGTAAAGTCGTGTCACTGAAATAAGAAAGTGTCCTTACACTGCGTCAAAATGGCCATCAGGGCGTTCTTGAACAGCTCCTTGGCGCGCTCCAGCTCCTCGTCGTGCTGAGCTTTCTCACCCATCAGCCGCCGAACGTGGCTGTTGGCTGACTGGATCATGGAGTAGAAGTGATTGGCGGTGCGGCGGTTGACCTCGCCGCGGTCGATCCAGGTGAACAGCACCGCCGTGGCCTCGCTGAACTTGTGGTCATCTGTGGGGAAAAAAACCCACACTCCTTACATGCTATATACTAGGCTAATCTATGTTGAAAAGACAACCACATTTTGAAGATGGTAAAAAGATAAGAGATATATATAGTCACATCTTAAGATAGCAAACTAACTAGCTAGCTAATCTACATCAATCATTACCTAGCTAATTAACATTCAAATGTAACTAGCGAGCTAATGATTAATATAGATTAGCTAGCTAGTTAGCTAATGTTTTATTCTGTAAGAACATGAAATTGATGGTCTCTTTGTACGTTTACTTAAGCAGGACTTTTATTCGTACTTTAGTATTCTGACGTTGTTTTAAAGTACTTTTACTTCACCAAAGAACCTGAATGCTGTTTCTGTTTCCTGTCAGATCAAATATTGACTCAACAGTTGGATGTGAGAGAAATTTCATGGGACCTTTAACATTCACTCAGCCTCCACAAACAACAGAGGATTAAAATCCCCCTCGTGGGGCGTTCACTGTTCACGCCTGTGTGAACCAGCCACAGCCGCTGCACACAAAAGGCATTTCTGATTTTCAACTTTTCAACCAAAACCGGGAACTGCGTTCGCTCTCCGTCATAAGAAGTCTCCGCGGGGCCTCCGTCAAGTGCGTTCCCCTCCATTTGAATAATAATTGAACGATGGCAATACAGAGTGAATTAGAGAGCGTTTAATGAGCTCAATACCCGCTTCAACACAACCTGTAAGAAGACACTTTCCCCTTTGCTGCGATAAAGCCCCATTCACACACAGCAGCAGATTACAGTCACATTACAGCGAGCACAATGGAGCACGGCTGAACGGGGACGACTGCAGGAAGAATGAAAATTTATTTCCCCTGATGTTTGAAGTGAAGAATGAATTCAAAAAGGTTATTCAGAAAGGAAACATGCTTGTTTATGTTCGGCATTAGAGGATGGATGGGGGATCGGCACAGAGGCTCCGGTTTGGGTTTTGTGGGTTAAATCGGAGACGCAAGTACGAACAAATGAAACCATGCAACATGCTGCTGGTTTATAATAGAGAGACAGACAAGCTAACGTTATAAAGGACTGATTACTAAAGTTAAAGGTTAAATAAATGAGATTTTATTAATGTATCAGCAAACATTATGTTCTCTATATACAGACACAGTGTCACATGGTGTCTCTCTCCCTCTGCCTGGTTGTATCGCAGCCTCCTCTTGTGGTTTGTTTTTCCATAGCCGGTCCTGCTCCGACTGAAACTGCTGTTTTTATCAATCTACGTTTCGGTGAATTAAGGATTTATTTTTCCACCCAAACCAGAGTTGGTGATTGTTGGAACACGAGACGCTTTTAATGAGTTTTCTGTCCACTTTGAATGAAGTTACAATGATCTAAAGGTAAAATGACTGGTTTTGTCTCTGGAGTCTGGTGCACCCCATTGTTTTGTGTGCTGGTGCTTTAGTTGCAGTGAATGTCATATTTTTAACCTTTAAAGTTTTTAAAAAAGTAGTTTAGTGTACTTCAGGAGGCGTCGTCGTGGCAACAAGGATAAAAAAAAACACAAAAAGACCTTTTATCAAACGTATTAGTCTGAAATCATGTACAGCTTCCCAAAGCGGATTCAGAGGTCAGTGAAACAGTGTGTGTGTGTTTGTGTGTGTGTGTGTGTGTGTGTGTGCAGATCACCTGCAGTGATACCTGATAACAGCTTCAAATGAATCATTCAGGAAGCTGCACAATTATTGATATTCTTCATGTTGGTTGGTGAACACACTGATACAAACAGCTGTTTGTCTGCAAGAGTGTGAAGCAGTCAAACACTGCGACAACAAACAGGAGTCAGCAGGTCATTATATGTCTTATTATATATGTTATTATGTTATTATACATGGTATTATATGTGTTATTATGTTATTATATATGGTATTATATGTGTTATTATGTTATTATATGTGTTGTGTATTACCCTCAGATCAGAGCAGATACAGACCGCTTGCATTCACCAGAGAGAATAATTATTTAATGAGAGAATAATTGGGATCTGGTTTCCTCTGAGACTTTTTCTTTCTTTGTGTCCTTCCACCTGCTCTCAGGCAGTTCAGTGGAAAGAGACGTGGGAGTGATCTGGCAGAGGTGTGGATGAAACGAGTGATGAGGGATGTTGTTGTGGAGGAGTGTGAAGGTCACTCCTCCTCCTCCTCCTCCTCCTCTGTTTGCTCTGCTGTGGCTGATTCTTATCTCCAGCACTGAAAATGCTCCGGTTGGACAGCAGGAAGCTCTCAGTCCTCACTGTAATTCAATCTCCTTCACTTCCAGCTCGTTACTGTGTTTCTCTGGGAAATACCTGTGTTTGTTTGATGTTCAGATTGAATCACTTTTGTGTCTGTCCGTTAGCATAAAGACTGAGGAAACAACCTTTGTCCAAAGATTTGCTTGGCTGTTTGGAGTTCTGTATCTACACACAGAGAACTAACAGTATTCTTAGAACAGTAGAGGGCGCTATCATAAAGCCCAGAATAACATAAATAGAATAAATACATTTTGCAAGATTTCTCGCTTTTAGTTTGAGTTAGGATGGATAAAGGACAAGTGATAACAGAGCAGATACTGCAGCAAAACAATGTGCGCTACAGCCAACCAGACCCCATTGACTCATTTTACCTCACACGTCGTAACTTAATTCAAACAAACCGTTCTCACCTTTCAGTCTCTCCGCTAACAGCGCCGCCTCGTGTTCAGAGTAGTGCACGATGGGCGGAGGAGACGGTGGCCGCAGTCGGTCTTCGTGGACCTTACGGCGGTGTCTTTCCTCTCTGGCCAGTAAACGCTGTTTACACTCCCATTCGTACAGGTCGTCTCTGGCCTGGGCGAAGTCCACGTGGATCCTCCCCGAGTCCTTTTTATCAGTGCTGGATCCGATACGCATCCGATACCCTGAGAGGAGAGAAAACTATATAACGTTATCTTCTGTTCCATTACAGGAACCTTCAGGTTACAGAGATAATCTGTTTACATTCACTGTAGTGAGCTGGTGTTTTTATCCCCCAGGATGTTGAAGTCATCACCTGATCATGACTTCAACATCCTGGGAAAAAACAATTGCTTCCTGTAGTTAGATATGCTATATGCTAGGCTAATTGATATTTAAAATACAGCCACATTTTGAAGTTGTTAGCTCGCTAGTTAGCTAAATATGCTGTTTGAAAGTATGTAGAAGCACCACATAATATTGTGACTGGTGTTCTTTTGTTTGTGGAGTCGATTATCTCTGCTGCAGGATAATGAGCTGCTACTACCATAACACACCTGAATCTCCAACTGTTGGCAGTCGAGTTGCATTGTGGGTAGATTTGACCCACAGAAACACAGAAGAACAACATCCTTTGAAACAATGAGTCAGCAGTGTGTGTGCTCACCTGACAGGTAAATAGCCTTGTCCACCATGAACTCCTCACTGAAGCGGATGTGGCAGAAGTTCTTCTTGCTCTTGCGGATGGCGATGATCTCCCCGCACTGGTCAAACACTTCCCTGATGATTTCCTCGGTGGCGTTCTCCGGCAAACCTCCGACAAACACCGTCTTACAGCCGGGTGGGCGCTCCCGTGTCGAAGGCGGGGGCAGATCTGAAGGACAAAGAAATGATTCTGTAGGAACTATTTTGTGTCTGCGTATCACCAACGTCAGCAGCACAGAACCGGACAGCGACTGTACACAGAGGCAGATCTTACTGGGGTTCTGGGGGAACAGGGTGCAGCTCTTGCAGTGGATAATCTCCTTGATGACTGGCATGTCGGGGGGGACGGGCGGTGGAGGGACCAGGCTGATGCCCGCCATCATGGGGTTTATGGGTGCGATGAGGCCCAGCCCGGGGTCGAACCTCTGGATGCACAGAGAGTCTGCAGGACAGATGGACGCCACAGAGTAAAGCTGGAGCTGCTGAGTGAACAAACTCGTCTCTAACACAGAATCCTACCCAGTGAACTGGTGCTTATACGGATTCTCAAACAGTTTCTAAGTGATGTTTATTAAAAAAAAGGCCAAATTAAATATGTTTGAAATGCAGTTTTTTTATTGGTTCCAGATAATTAACGAAATGTACTACTGTGCGGCCATAGCAGCCTGTTTCTGTAGGTTAATTAACGATTTATTTCCACCAAACCAGAGTTGGTGATTGTTGGAAACACTTTTTATTCTGTTTCTGTCCACTTTGAAGCGTGTTAACTATCTGCTCGGTAAAATTACCGGTTTTGTGAATGGAGTCTGGTCCATCATAGCGCCCATTGTTTTGGTCAGAGATGCTGGTGCTTTAGTGCGACACCTATTGGCGGTGAATTTATCACCTTTAAGTAAAATATCTGAGTACTTTTTACACTAATGATGTATTTATTAAAAGTATAATGAATAAACTGTGAGAGGAGATGCAGCTGTGAGGTAAAATATGTGGTATAGTTCATTTCTGCTAACACCTCTGAAATCCTCTACAGTGCCCGACAGGTAATTAAATACACATTAACTATGATTAATGTTTCATATTTCCTAATTGTACCCTAAAATTAATCATTATTTTGTACAAATTGTGCCCCCAAATGGCTGGTTTAGAGCACTGGCACCTTTTTTTATTCCAATTAAAGAACCAATGACAACACTCGTTAGGAAATTGGTGTAAAACTACAGAAAGGACAGAAACAGGATGAGGAAAATGTGGTGTAATATATCAAAATGCAGTAAAAAGGAGAGAAATAAAGCATCGCTATCTGGAAGGAAACAGATAAGAGAAATAAAAATGGGGACGAGATCTGCGGGGAGAGACAAGAAAATACCATCTCGAGTTAATGAAAGGTAGAAGAAGAGAGACCGGGACAAAGAGGAAGTGAGGAAGAGGAGAGAAGATAAACAGCGAGAGGACCGAGGCGACAGGAGCAATGTTTCAGCTGTCGGGGTGAAAATAGAGCGGGCAGGGAGAAGGAGGAGGAGGGCAGTGCAGCGTCGCATGTTCCTATCTTCAACACTGCAATAACAAGGGAGCAGGAGGAAGAAAACGTCAGCAGAAAAGCCCACACAGCCACAACAGCCACAACAATAAAGTGATTCAAATTACAGGCGAGGGGAGCTGTCACACACAGAAAGGACAAATGTCCCTTATAGTAATCCAACAGAAAGAAATGTTTCTCTTGCAGCTGGGTGTGGAGGATTGATGGAGCGCAGCATTGATTCAGTGTGAGAGCTTTTTACTCCTGCCGGTCCAAACACCTGAAACAATCATCAGCACACAGGAAGTGTTTTACATTCCCCGTTTGTTTGGGACAAAGAAAAGAGAACCTGAGGACCAACGGGGATATATTTTTATCTTGTAGATTGTATTCGTGCCTGGCAGCGTGCCCTCACTTTGTCCTTGCTTTGTGTTTTTCCACCGCTGAGGGATGATATCGTTACAGACCTCTACTGACAAGGCTTTAAGATATCAAACTCTGGAGGTGACCAGAATTTCATATGTGGCTCTTAAAGCATTCATTTCTTTAAAAAACACAGAAGTTCCAATGGAAACAGGGAGATCTGTGGATTTGGTTTTATGGATGCTGGTTTTAGTCGGGCGGTCCTCCACTTAAATTCTGTTTCAGTCTTATTTGGTCATTTATTATTATATTCAGTGAATATTCATTCTCACTCCCAACTCATCAAATACTCAGTAATATCACACTGTATGTATTCCACACGCAGGGCGCCGCTGTCTAGTTAGCATCAGATCGCTTAATTAACGTTATAACACGGTCGAAGTTTGGTTAGCTTTAGGTACAAAACTACTTGGTTAGGATGAGGATTTATGTACCTAATTTAACTTAAGTAGATTAATAAAATTAAAAATAATTTACGTAAGGTACTTAAAAGAAATCCACCTCCATATGATCTGATCTCTATCAGTATCGTCCCTCCCCAGTCCCTGCTGTCCCTGAGACTCCATGATGGGAGTTTTGTCTTCAAACACCAGCACATAAAGCTCCCTACGGTAGAATCCTTATAAATAAACACATTTTTTTTAATATAAAGGGCTTTTAAGCAGGCATTCTTTGGACGGCACAATCCCAATAACATAATCTAATTTTCTACCAGCATTAGTGCGCTGTAAGCTAAAGAGCTGTGAAACACTTCCTACACATTCATCATTAGAGATCTTTAGGCTTTTAAAAAGGAAAACAGATATAAATCTGAGCATGTGCAGCCGCGGTGCATTCAGGGACTCTTCAGGTCTTAGCAAAACTCATTAAAGTGCTGTCTGCGATAACCTCGACAGGTAAATCACACATCTCGGTGCCACACATTCATCATAATCACATAAGGCTGCTTGTGCTCGCAGCTTTTTCTCCCAGAGCCAAAATGATTCGAGCCAGGTTCATTTCTCTGGCTCGGAGCTGCGCTGCCGCAGCCAAAAAGAGAAACAGAGGAAGAAATACAGAGGAGAGAAAAAACACACAGGGAGAAAAATGATACCCAGAGCCAAGAAAGGGAGAGAGAGGCTCTGTATTTATGCCTTTAATCGTGATTATTTTATGACTGTTTTTCCACCAGAACCAAGAGACGAGCTGCATCACATCTGGCTGTAATTACCCTCAAGGTGAGATCTCATCAGTAACGACGCACCCAGACAGCTTATCCTAAACCCAACCCTGGAATCGCCTCACGTTCAACTTGTAGAGGTTATAATATGTATGAGATCATACATAATAAATCAGCTAACAGCTATTCTCTATATACAAATACAGAGTCACATGGTGTCTCTCGTCCCCTTCTGCCTGTCGTTGGTATCGCCAGCCTCTGCTGTCCGGTTTGTTTCCCATAGCCGCGTTCTGCTCCGACTGAAAACTGAGCCTGTTTTTATCATTCTACATCTGTGACGTTAAGGACTTTATTTCCACCAAAACCAGAGTTGTGATCAGGTTGGAAACACTAACAGAGACCACTTTTGAATGCAGTTTATATTTCTTTTGTCTGCTCCACTTTGAATGAAGTTACGATGTTACGATGATCTGCAAGGTTAAATTACCATTTTTGCCTATGGAGTCTGGTGGAGAGTGATAGCAGAGATGAGTGCATTTACAAAAGTAAAACTTTAAGCTAGTTGTATTGTATTATTATTATTATTATTTTATGTAACTTTACTACTTATACAACTTAACTTACTGCTACGACTTCTGCTACATTTACTTGACAGGTGTATATACTTTTAAGAGTCAGATATTACACAAAATGTTTTGATATGTGAGGTAAAATTGGGGTTTTTTCGATTTAAAATGAGTGGTTTTGTCAGTGGAGTCTGGTTGGCTGTAATGCTAGTTGTTTTGGTCTGAGATGCTGGTGCTCTAAAGCGACATCTAGTGGCAAGTAAATTTCACAAACGTAACCTTTAACGTTTTAAATTAAAGGAAAAAGGGATTAGCTAACGCTGCCGTCATTACAGCCCGATTAATGAATATTTCACATCTAACTAGAATAATTTATTATATATATTTATTTCGACTAAACCAGAATCTGTGTTGGAAAGACTAACAAAGGTGGTTTTGCTGAGTTCGATGTTTCTGTCTGTTTTTTTTTTTTTTATCTTTTATCTGCAATGTAAAAGGACTGATTTTGTCAATGGAGTCTGGTGGGCAGTAGCTGGTGCTCCAGACATGTAAGAGGCAGTGAATATCGTATATATTTCACTTCTTTCTATCAAGGGTTGAAAAAAGTGCAAACTTTCTCCTCAAGGTAAGTGGAAACATGTGTTTTTGTGATTTTCAGTAAACTGACCCTTTAACACACATATCAGATTCACTTTTTTTCCAGTTTTTCATCATCTAAATGTTCCCACATGTGCTTTAAAGAGGGGAGGATAGCTGCAGTCGCTGCCAGAGGTGGAGTCTAATCAGCATCACATCATCACTGCAAAAATATCATGTCATCATTTTAATATTTCCACTCCGGTCCAGAGGAATTAGGTTGCTAAGTTGCTGTCTGTCCCTCCTTACAACAGCTCCTCTCTCCTCATTTCAGCTTCTCTCAGTTAAATCCATGCATTCAATTATTCTGGGCTTAACACAAAAAAACTCAACAAATCTCATTTAATAAAACCCCCACAATGCAGCACTTATACAATGACAACCCCCCCGGGCCTTTTATATGGTGGAAAGACGCACAACCACAAAGCTCAGACAAATCCCCGGGTCTCACAAAAACAATTTCATAAATAGATTCCAACGTGAAACCGAAAATGAAATTGAGTGGATACACGCGGAGCTTAGTGTAGTTTCTGAGGCCGGTGTGTTTGGAGTACAGCCATACAGGACTGTACACACTGCTGAGGGACAGATAAAGCTCTAGGATTTCAGTTAACTCAGGGACTTCTTGTTTACATTAGGCTGCACGGGCCAGCGCTGGGTTATATGGTTTAGATATCAAGAAATGAGAACAAAACAGAGGTATTTATTGCATCCAGATGCTCCAGTTTCTCTTCCAGCCCTGCCCCTTTTTAGCAAAGTGTCACAGTTTGATACGTCTGGGAAAATCTCTGGAAGAAGCACTCAGGCCTTTAACTCAGAGTAAAAGTACCAACACAGATTCATGTAGTAACAGAAAATACAGAATAAATACTGAATCTATACAGTTAGCTGGTTTAGTCCAGTGATATTACTGCTGTCATTACAAACACTGTCACTACTACAGCTGCTAGTCCTACTGCTGCTGCAACACATAGTATTTATAGTAATCTATTTATACTGCTATAAAATAATACTATGAAACTGCAAATAACACTACTGATCGTATCATCACTAATACTGGGCCTACTATTATTACCACGATATGATATCAATACGTTACAATGTTACAATATGTTACGATACATTACAATGTTGCGGTACGTTACGATGTGTTACGATACGATACGTTACAATGTTACGATACGTTACAATGTTACGATACAATACAATGTTACAATATGTTACGATACTTTACAATGTTGCGATACTTTACTATGTTACGGTACGTTACGATATGTTATGAAACGATACAATGTTACAATATGTTACAATACAATACAATGTTAAGATACGTTACAATGTTACCGTACGTTACGATACAATATGTTATAAAACGATACAATGTTATGATATGTTACTATGTTACGGTACGTTACGATACGATATGTTGCAATACGATATGTTACTAAAAGATACAAAGTTATGATATAAGCTAAAAAATTTAAACAACTTTATTGTTAATAAATATTACATTTCTGTTTCAACCTGGTAAATTAGATCACTGGTTCAGAACCTTTTTCCTTAAAATTAGTAAACTGACATATATTATATTATATTGATTAATAACAGGAGAGAACAACTTATAAACTGCATAAGATTTGATGAATTTTGAGCACTTTATGTCCTGTGAATATTGATCAGAGATGAGTTTTCCTGATATTTTTATACAATTCTGTCTGTATTCTGTATTTTTATTTTATTTTAGTAGTAGTGGTGGTAATATCCTCTCTTTCAGTGATCTACATATTTCTGTCCTGTTGTCTAAAAGCTGATTTAAAAGCTTTTCTACTCTAGACACTGTAGACAATCAGTTTCCATCATTTTTCATTAAAGCCAAACACACTTACAGATGTGACTGCATAAAAAGCTCTAAGTGTTTCCAGGAAAGGATCTATTAGGTCAAAACCTAAAAGTGTCTGTTTGAAACTAAAGAGCCTGAAGTGTAACTGCGAATGACTGAAATCTTCACTTATTGCGAGCTACATAAATATGCATGAACTCTGGTGAATTTTAATTTTGCTCGTCCTCTGCCTCTGAGTGAGAGCAGCAGACACTCAGAGCCAGAAACAGATGATCTCAGTGTCAGATAACAGCCACATTAACGTCAGCGCAGACTGATGTGAGATCAGGACACTGCTTCCTCTTCTGTCGTCCTCATCCTCATTTCTGTTTCTGTCTGTTCCTGCAGAGGGACGATGCTCAGATAACGTTTTACAGACTAACGTCTCTAGGGGAGGTGATTTTACCTGTGCAGGTCTGTGAGTCTCTGTGAGTCCACCTGAGCTTTTACAGTCACTAGAAGCACATTCACGCTGTATGTAAAAGTCTCTGTGTGCTACCTGTGCTGTAACGTTTGCTAACCTAGCAGCTCAGAGAGGCTAACTCTATCAGGCTAATGGCTACATAGCAGGCCACTGTCAGTCGCAATGCATTTTTATGTAAAATTATTCAATTTGTAAAATTGGTTGAAATCAGTTAGTTCATGCTGACGTAAGCACGCGTCACATTTAGTTCCACAGGAAGACACAATGATTGATTATTGATATAAAAATACAAAGAAATTTAGTTTTTTAAAATGTTTTTAGCATAAATTGTTAAAAATGGGAACAATATAACTGAGGATGTGATCTTAAAGGGTTAAAATGACATACACACACGTACCTGAAACCAGCTGCTGCCCACTGATGCCCACTGGCATGATGCCCAGGTTGTTCATGGCCGTGGCCCAGGCTCCATGATCAGTGACAGGGACGCTCAGGTGGTTCTGCTCAGCTCCCAGACTGCCTACACCATCAGCTGCTGCAGAGACACACAGACATCAGAGACAGCGCAGGAAACATGACAGAGGACACAGACACAAACGTGTTTCTGGAGGATAACTTTGTACCGCTGGCCATAGCAGGTCGTCTCTTCTCTCCTCTCTCTGCAGACCTCTCATCAGATCCTTCCTCTGGCTGCTGCAGGGACGGACGGACGGGCGAACAGACGGGTTCATCCAGTCAGATCCACCTGCGGCAGGATAAAGAAGAGGAAGTTAAAATGATGGTGAAATCCAGAAATAAATCCTTGAGAGCTGCGATGAATCATCGAGCCCAGAGCTGACGCAAAACCTGAGAAATCTTGAGGTAATTAAGAGGCGAAGTTACGATCCAAGGCTCCGTTTCCAGCAGAGAAAGCTGCTTTAAACACACACGTTGATTCAACTTTCAGCAGCAGTTTCTAATCGCTGCACACACACACTGTCACTGTGTGTGTGCTGTTAGACGGTTGGCATCCGGCTCATTTACCAGCTCTCCACATGGAAAACATCAGAGGGCCCAACTGACAGCGCTCTGAGCAAATCCCTCATTTCTGCCTGACAGGCCAGAATCCAGTCCATCATTACTGCAGTGGAGGTCAGGCGGGGGTCCGGTCTGTGATCGTTGTATTGATCCGAGACTGCGGCAAATAAATCAGCTGGTTTTTATCCAAATTTACACACAGAACTTTTATAATCCAGAAAGACTTCAGTTCTGTTGTTCCCGACTGAAACATCTCAACAACTCTTCAATGGATTAATATGATATTTAGTTCAGACATTCATGGTCCCCTCTGGATGAACTGACCCTTCATAAGCCCCGCCCCTTTTGCTCTGTGATCCAATCACAGTTGAGCAACTTCCTCCTTTCCCGTACTTAGATTAGCTATGTGCTAGGCTAATCTATGTTAAAAAGACAAATTTAGAATATAGCTAACAGATAAAAGTAATATTATTTATATTCAAAATGTTAGTCAACTAGCTAGCTAATCTACATCAGTAACTAGTTAGCTAGCATGTTGCTACAGAGCAAAACATTACCTTACAAACAAACAAATCTATATCAATCGTTCTTCTGACAGCTTAGCAAAATGATAGTTAACTAACAAACTAATATACAGTAATCACTAGTTACTTAGCTAGCGTGTTGCTCACATTAGCTAACTTAAGATGTGACAATAGGTCACTTCTATCTTTTAACCATCTTCAAAATGTGTTTGTCTTTTCAGCATAGATTAGCTTAGCACGTAGCATATCTAAGTACCGGGTAAGGAGGAAGTTGCTCAACTGTGATTGGAGCACAGAGCAAAAGGGGCGGGGCTTAGGGGCGTCAGAAGAGGGTTAAACGATGAGACACTGTTTAAGCAAATGTGTCCAAAAACGAGTGTATCCTCTAAAAAAACTATAACTAAAGCATACACAATAACTGCTGAGTGATTTTATATCTTATCTCCTCACACAGAAAGCGTTTAAACTGCAGTTTGACTTTAAAAACCTCCTTACAGAACCATAAAGCGTTCCTACGTAGAACCTTTATGTGTAGCCTCAATCTTTCCCACAGTCTTTGAAGTGGGATTGTTTGGTATGCAGGACGCGTCACGCCCTCCCCGTCAGCCCACTCCGCTCTGCAGTAATCACCATTACTCACATCTGACACCAGCTGAGCTCCCACAACACATCCTGCTTTAATTGAGACACAATCATATCGGGGACTTTTCATTAACACACAATGGCATGTAGTTCAGCTTCCGCTTGAACCCCCAAAATGTGTCTTTTCCTTCAGCGGGGGACGATGGATCTTAATTATAAATGTGATGATTGGACAAAAGTTGCAGTTGGTAAACATGTTTGCTGTGGCTGCCGGGCTCACAGCAGACTGTATCTCTGGCACCGTGTCAACGCCGCCCCAGGTTTGTACAGAAACGTCTTTATAATACACAAATATGGAAGATTGTTGTATGTATATAACCTCCAGGTCAGACCTTCCTGAAGAAGTAAGAACCGGATCAAACGTCCTCTGTGTTCAGATGCTCAGACGAACAGCGCACACACATCCTGCAGGCAGAATTAGGTCCCGACGATACGGCGGGGGATTGTGGATGAAGGCTTATGACAAGCTGAGTCTTCACACTGCAGTTTATTTTAAGAAAGATTTATCTTGAACGTTTAGCCACGTTAGCTTAGCGGCTCTGTTATTGTCCCACAGACTGAAATATCTCAACAACTGCTGCATGGATTGTGATGAAATGTGTGCAATACTTTGGTTCATGAGCAAATACCTGCAGAACTAATGACATTCCCATCAGCCTCAGCTGCACTTTGTGTTTACTTCCTGTGGCGCGGGTTGCAGACGGAGGGCAGGAAGTGATTTTATACATTGGAAGCACTGTGACAAACTCTTAAAATGCCTGTTTTCCGTCGTTTATGGTCGCTGAGATCGAGAAACCACAAGGAGCTTTTATTGAGGACAAACAGTTATTGTTCACGAGGGAAAGTGCAAGAAACTGAAAAAACGTCTGCGAGTTCTTCTGTGGAGCAGCACTACGTAGCCTAGTTTGAGTGTACACTACATTTAAAGTATTTTAACCACTTTACCTCGCCGTCTGACGAGGATCTATGCACTTTTCAACCCACCAGACTCCATTGAAAAAAACAGTAATTTTACCTCGCAGAACACAGGAGTTGTTGGTCTACAGCCGCCTTCATCTGCAGCAGCTAACATTAGTTTGGATCCAAATTAATGTGTTAAAACACCAAAGTCACACAACAACACAAACTTACTAACTGATGGAGGCAGCGGTAGAGCAACAGCTCCCGTTTTCTGAGACGTAAAATTGCTGTTTTTTTCAATGGAGTCTGGTGGGTTTGAAGAGAGCCATATAACGACTTCCTCACATCCAACATGTGTTGTGATTTTTCTCTTTCCTCCATTTAATCTTTTCTGCTCTTCTCACTTCCTGCTTTTCATCTGAATTTCATCGGAATCACGTGACTACAAACAAGCTGTTAGCAAAAGATTAGCATACTAACACGCTAAACTGCGATGGTGTCAGTCTCCATAAGGCCCCACATTAAAATATCTGTACAGCAGAAATAAACATGTTCACAGCCTCTGGACAACTGTACGAGGGGTGAATTTATATACAACTCACCTGTTTAAATCATATTAAGAATTAAAGTTATGCTTAATTAAGGGCGTGGCCACTTTGAGTGACAGGAGCCGTCACAGGATTATAGCTCCTCAGAAAGACTACGTCCATTTTTAATTACGCAGTCTATGGTTCGTATGAGAGGTTAAATAACGATTATTTGATATGATCAGTTCTGTTTCCTGAATGTTCTGCTGCATGCACTCTGGCACAGAAAGAAACAGAGAAATTAGGTTGATTTGGAGCTCATGTAAAGTACGACAGGACGCTGGCGGAGCTGCTGCCATCGCTCACACAGTCTTTATCCAGGTAAGAGTCGTGTGTTTAATGGGCCACAGCCGACAGTTACTGGGAATCTAAACAGACACAAACACCTCGAAGCTGTGTACCGTCTGCAGTAACTGTCTCTGTCCGCTCAGCTGCTGTCTTCATGTTTTTACGCTCAACTTTCCATGAATGTGTGTGTGTGTGTGTGTTTGGGGATGTAATGTACCGTCACACACTTAAAGACTTTCTCATCTGTGATCTGTTCTCTCTCTCTCTCTCTCTCTGCAGAAGCTGTCGACAGACCACACTGCTGCTCCAATGTGAGCCTGGTGCTAGTTCTGGTTCAGAGAGAAGAACCGGTTTGCTAGAGAGCTACCAAAGAGCCACGTCATTACATCACTGTTTACGTCGCCAACGTTAGCTGTTGTTACCAAGGTTACGCTAGCTGCTGGTCAGCTGACATTACCCAAACAAGCACAGCTACTATGTTTTGTTCGTAGTTCAGTAACACTGATTAGCACTGATTCATAATATCCGTGTGCTGGTCACAAGGCCCCTCCTGTAAACGGCTGCTGGCTCCAGACCAGACCAGCGTTGGTGCCGCACTGGAACCAGTTTCTTTGGCTGTTAAAACTGGTTCTGAACAATCTGCCTTATAAATACTACATGTTATTTAGTATTCACAGTTACTAAATAACTTACCCACACACACACACACACACACACACAGGATCTCACTGTCCTCAGTCGTCCATCTTTCCTTCCTGTTCCTCCTTTCTGACAGCCGACTGGACGATGCCAGAACTCCACCGAGCGTTTCTGCTCACTTTCACGCACCATGAAATATTCACAGCCGAATGCGTGTCCTGTTTATTATTCATGAGCTCACTTGACATCTCTGAATCATTCACACACACACACACACACACACAGGCTCATATTTGCATAGGCCTGCTGAGAAATGCTCAGTTGGACCCGTGAAGACGTATTCATGGACACACACTGGGAGAGCTGGATGCTGAAAAATAATAATACCAATACTGTCCCGGCCAATCAGATTCCTCTGATAATAACAGTTCCTGTAAGTCATTTTAGTGCTTCCAGTAAACGGAGGGAGTTCTTCTAGACAATGTCAACCTTTCATCTGTTACTCTGCATATATTTATAGTTAACTTTATTTAACCTTTCTTAACAAAGTGCTGGACAAAAAGGAATCAATTTAAATGTACAGTGTGTAATTTCTGCAACAATAACACAAGAGGAAGTTTGGTGACGTGGTGACGCAGCGTGGGATCATGGGAGTTGTTGTTTACTGTTCAGGTTTCTACCGGGAG